AATTTTCACCAACACCAAAAGGCTACTAACGTCATGTGTGAAATTTTACACTGCGGAAACAAATTTCAGACGAAAGTGCGGAAATCCAATTTGTCATGTTTACTGACTGTACAATAACTGCAGAAATTCTCGTGCGCTCATTGGCTAATTTTTATCGTCAATAAGCGGACAGACACATGAATCGATAATTTATGCGATGCGTCAACGAGCGAGAGCTGACAATTTGGCAATTTGTTATCGTGAAAAACAAATTGTTGCCAGTTTTTAATGTGTCTGTCCTGTTATTGGCAATGAATTTCGTCATAACATTGTCAAAGTAGTCTGCGGATCCACAGCTCCTTATGTTATGACGAAATTCGTGATCAATAACAGGACAGACGCATGAAAAACTGACGTCAATTTGTTAAATCGCGGCCAGCGCTCTTATTCTTTGACTACAGACAATTTATAGGATTTTTACACAAACAAAACTGAGCAGTATCTACAGACGTAAACTTATTGGGCCTTGATGAAACAAGCGAAACTCAAACTTGCAAATTAAACTTTTCGGCCGCGATAGACTCTGGCGAAATCCCCGCAAGCGTGTGGCAAGAGGAGGGAAACTTCAAATCCTGAAACGCTGCCATATCCAAATTTATCCGACTAGTTTTTTGCTGTGTATTGGAAAAAGAAAAGCTGTTAGTCTTCAACATATGTGAAATTTAGAGCGGAGTAATGTGGAGCTTTTGTAAGAGAAGCAGTGGAACAAACCTTGGTCAGTGATATAAAGCGGGACAAACCTAAATTCGACTCTGTCTTACTTCACTCAAATTGGAGCAGCTTACGCCGACAAAACTTAAATAAAATTCCGACAGACATAAACGTATTGAGTTATGGGCCAAAAGCATCAAAAATTTCGGGAATTTCGGACGCCATTTTCCTCGTGCTACAGCCGCAAAAATCCTCGCAGCATGTACGCGCGTGTGCCGCAGGCGATGACACAATTTGTTCTAAAAATAGCAAAATTGTCCCATATCATAGGAACAGCCCCAACGTTAGAAATGGCGCGCGCTTACGGTCCCCGTCCCCGATTAAGGCCTGGTATTACTTTACTACTTTTTAAGCAGTATAGTTTAAGTAGTGTATTATAACTTGTTGTGCATTATAAAAAATAAATAATAATAATAATAATAATAAACAGCATAGTTCCGTGTGACAAAGACCTAAAAGCCTAAATTGTGTTGATTATGCCAATTCGAGATCATATTTTTATTAATAATATCTTAATTGTGTATATTTTGCTTTGTTTTGCAGTACAGCTGTGTCACAAGTAGAGAAAAGTTAAACCCGCTGGAAAAACGGCAAAATGACCTCATTGAGAGGTAATTTAAGAGTCACTCTTAAAATGGATACCGTGTACAAACCAAGATTTTATTATTTTATTTATATAGGATATTCCAAAACGCCTTCTTTTATCATATATTCATATCTGGATAAAAAAGCTTAATGAACTGGCTTTCATCCTTGTCGATCCATTATCTCAAAATGAGACAAAATTATAAAATCAAACAAGACTTGCCTGGAAGCTAAACGTTGATTTGGATTCTACCTCGCCAGCATAGCAATGAGGGATTACATAGAATTGAATTGCGCCTGCACGAACTCACAGTTAAGGACTTTATCCATGCACCCAAACCCAACAGGGTGGGTATGTGAACCTCAAGCTTAATAACAGGTTGCTTGGTTCCTGGTCTAGATTGTTGTGCATTCTCTGTGATAACAAAAGTAAATGATTGTAGTCTCTATTCATCTTCTCCTGCAGCTCAGTTGTCATCGGCGATACCTTAAGTCAACAAACTGGTGACAATGGTCGCTCACTGTCAATCGAATCGCCAAGCTCATTTGCTTTGAGGTCTTGTTTAATGCTGTCCAGTACAGCAGCTTTGTGATCCTCATTAGACGCTTTTCCCGTTTTATAATCTGCCGCCTTACCCTTTTCTGAAGTAAATGATTCGATATTCGGGGTACCCCGCTTTTTTTCCTTTTCCTTCGCTGGCTCCTCTGGCTCACTAGTTTCGAGATATGAATCCAGCAAGTTACTGTCAATTATGTTTACCGCAATAGAAAAGCAATCATGTATTGCTTTAATAAAACCACTCATGGTTGTGAATCGGCTTTCAATTGCTCATTAGAGCATGTTGTGCCGCCGGAGACGGGAAGCAGAATCTTATCACCTTGTTGTTTCCTAGCGGTTTTAGCACCATCTAAACCATGACTTTCCGTAATTTATGTGACACTTCTTCCTTTTTCTGATAAGTGCGATGATTTGCTCCTTGACTTTTGCATGGGATTTGGAACCATGACGTCATATGACATAGAAATGATGCCATATGAAAGAAAGCTAAAAGCATTTTAAATGAAAGTCATTGTATGAAAGTTAAACTTTCTAAATTAAAAACAGGAAAATTCAACATTTGTGAGACATAATGTCAGGATAAGGTTGCCGTGGAAACATCAAGATCCTTATCATTTTATGTGTCATACTTAATTTTTCCCAGATAAATTTGAGGAAAAGTCACAGCGTTTAATTAAGAAATGGTAAGCGTGCAGCGTGCAACTATCGAGTTTTCTATATTAAACCAAGTTTGATTAATTCTCGCCTATGATCTATTAGCGGACAGACGTATGATTGACGTCATCAGTACAAAGTTTTTCCCTCTATGTTTTAAAATGGCAGAGAGTTTTGAGAATTTAGATAATATTTTACGTGACTGGGCAAAAGATAAGGTACAAAAAAAGTCTTGTCGAGGCGTTGAACAGGTACGAGAAGTAGGAAGAAAAAATACTCGAGTAGTCTCGTTCGGCAGTCGAGTGAGACTAAACCAACGACAAAATTGGTCTTGGTAAGCCGAGAACCATTGCTCTGTCTCGAATTTAACAAACCCAATGAACAAAGTGTTCATGAGATTAATTTAATTTAAAAAAATCAACTTTTCACAGTCTTAAAATAATTGTTGTCACACTGATTGATGTCAGAAATGAACCATCAAAACATCACTTAAAATCAGTTAAAATAAGCACATAACCTGCTTTCCGATGCGATTGTTCCAGTCCGTTTCAGGGCACAGCAGCGAGCAAAATATAGCTCACTACAGCTCACGGCCAACTGTATCGCAGCTAAAAGGTATCTGCGACACTATATCGAACTGATTTGAGAATCACCAACCACATAGGACACCGTCACTAACGCTCCTTTCATCCAAAACCCAAATCGCATAGTCTCCACGTTGACCGCAACCGCAAGTTTTCCGAGCGAATTTTTTCAGCTCCTGCAATGTTCAAGACAACATCCACGCTTAGTAGTGATAAGTTAATAAGTTAATAAAGATGGTGAATTTTAAGCTCGGTAATGAGTTCTCGTAGCTCAGTGGATAGAGCGCCCGCCCGGTGTTCGGGAGGTCATGGGTTCGA